GTGGGCCTTTATTTTTGAATGTAGAAGGTGGATAGCCCTACCTAATTGGCTGGAAAAGTGTGCGCTCGGATTTCGAAGTAAAGGTCGGTTTTTATAAGACGATTTCAAAAAAAACCTTTTAATTGTCCTTCTGGCTGCTGACTACGATGGTTGGCTGGACATAGCGGCAAGGATGGTCACTGATTCAGTCCTTATGAAAATCCATCACAACACGTGTTTTACGTATCATTCTGTAGGAAAATTTAAACTACAGTACTGAAAATACGTCCGCCTAGCTTTTATGAGTATAATGAAAAAAATCATGTAGCCCTTCGTCTGATTGACAGCTTTCTGTCATAACGCTGCTCCTCTTAAAAATCGCTCCACCTTCCCGCACTGCAGAGGCCTACACAGAATGTCATAAAGCTCAATGGAAGATGGTATAAAAGCAGTTTCGACACTCATGGCACCTTACCAGGGATTACTAATTAATACAACAATAGCTACAGGATTTTAATCAGAAAATAACTGAAAGCATTATTATTAAATTAACAAGGCTTGTCGAAGTGGGGTTTTTGAATGGATTTGTGTGTGAGGAGATGAGGCATTAAAAGATGCAATGGACATCGCGATTTAACAAATTGGTTCAGAAACGAAATGCTAAGCTATTCGATATTTTGTTGCAGATATGATAGGCCCTGAAGGATAACCTTATCAAACTAGAAAAAAATTCGATGGTAAAGAATTTTATGGTACTGGATTTAGCGCAAAGACATTAACCAGCAGACCTTCTCAAATCCAATTTCCCAACAGCTCTCGTTCTGCGGGCTGCATGGCTTTAAAGAAATAGTCAGGGTTCAGAAATCTGGTAAAATTAAGATGCAGGACCGATAAACGCGGGAGTGAGCAAAAGCATTTAACGATGGAAGCAAAAATTGAGAAATGGGATGGAGATTACACTCCTATGCAGCATATCTGCACTTGTGAATCCAGTAATGTGACTACTTAGAACTTTGAGGACGAGAAGTTCAAAAATGGAGCTTGCACATGGGAAATCGCTTTTAAGGCTTTGTAAATGGTACTTTCACGGGGTGATGGCTTAAATGAGACCGGTCATTATCGTATGAGAAAGTGCTTAAAGAGATTTCATTTTCAAAATATCACTTCCATGCAAAAGTTGATAATTTCGGATTCATCGAAAGTTCGGATGTGCTCCTCAAATTGCTACCGAAAGACCATGTTAGGATTTCAGGCTATTTCCAGTTCGCATTGTGAAAGAGACTTTGTGTCGGGCTGCAAGTTCATGAGAACTACCAGACCAATATGGATGTTGGAAGTTTCCTTCTGCACTCCCCTGGATACAGTTACAATCGTGTGATTTTGTGTTTGTTAACAGCAAAACCTTTTCTCAAAAAACATAAACCCTCTTTCTTGTACTAATTCTTTCATCAAATCACTTTCCAGCCATTCCCAAAATCCCTATTGAGAAGGCGATTTAAGCTGATTTAACCAACAACTTTTAAGTGAATTTGACGTCGAATGCAAACATTTTACGCATTTGTAATTTGTTTTGGAAAAAAAAACTAACGGTGGCAGGTTGGCTAGGTTAAAATGAAAAATTTCACGCAAAAACATATGAGAATGCATGAAGCAGAATGAATCAGGCCTCCTTATCTTCCGCCTCCTGTGAGAGCCTCCAGCCTCTGCCCTTGCCAATCACCGAAGGGTGATACCTACGTTACAGCACAAAATAACAAAATTCAAACTTTAGCTAGATCTTTAAAACGCATATTAGCAAAACGAATGCATAGTCTTTCGGGCTAAGGAAGCAGTAAAAAGCCCAGATTGTAATGCTGCCACTGTTCTCTTACTACTATCCCTTACGCGAGGCACGAAGGCAGAACTCACCGAGTGACTGACTCAGGATTATTTGTGCGAGTAAGAAGTAGACTATGCAATATTGCGCAAGCAACTGCAATAAAATGACTCACAATTTCTCCATCATTATTGCCTTAACCACTCACCTCTACACCCTCCATGTAAGCCTAAAAATCCGAGCAAACTCAACTTCTCCAAAGATGTTTGTGCAAATAGCCTATCATAATTTATCGCTCCGCAAAATTCGATGACCATATTTAAATTAATGGAAAAGTAGAATTTCGCCTCTAATTTGAAGAATCCGTATACATCTGGGCCGAAAATACCCGGATATGAAGATGAGATAAACCAATCAAGGGAGGATGTTGGCA